GGCTAAGGATCCTACTGCATCAATAATTGGCTTCCTTCTGAGGTAATGCATTATTTCCAGTTCATACTGTTGACTTAAGTGATGGATGGCTTGTAAATGACACAAATGCAAAAGAGCAATCTTGTTGGATCAGACCAAAGGGCAAACCAAAATGTTAGGCCTTTTTATTCAAATAGGCATTTACAGTGAGCCTTCGGCATCCACCAAGATTTGGTTCCAGGACCTCCAGTGGATACCAAAATCCATGGCTGCTCAAGTTCTATTACGTATACGCTATGGTATAGTAAAATGGTGTCCCTTATATAAAATGGCAAAATCAAAGAACATTAAAAAATATATTTTCAAACTGTGGATGGCTGAATCCATGGATGCAGAATCTGTGGATACAGAGGACCGACTGTAATGATTATATGGTTGTGGGGGGGGGGCTTTTATGTGTGTGTTTTTGCTGCATATTTAGTTTATTGTTGTGTTTTTAAAGAAGTGATTGTACACTTTTAAAAAATTAATTGTGTTTTTATATGCTAAAGTTATTTAACTTTTTATTATTAGGTTTTAAGCTTTACCTTGTTTGAGCTTTGTTGCAAGCCACGTTGGGTCCCATGCTGGGAGAAAGGTATGGTATAAATAAAATAAACAATTAATACAGAGCCAGTATAGTGCATTAGTTTGCGCACTGGACTATTACTTTGGGAGATCAAGGTTTAAATTCCTGCTCAGCCATGGAAACCCATTGGCAGACCTTGGGCAAGTCCTATCCTCAGCAGCAGCAGCAGAAGGCATTGGCAAACCCTGATCTGAAGAAATCTGGCCAAGAAAACCCTATGAGAAGCAGCATGATGTTGTGGTTTGTGTTGGACTAGAACTCCAGAACAAGGGCTCAAATCATCTCTTGACCATGGAAACCCATTGGGTGACTCTGGGCAAGTCACCCTCTCTGTGCCTCAAAAGGCGATGGAAAACTCCTTCTGAACAAATCTTGCCAATAACTTGAAGACACACAACACTTGCAACACACAATCCACAACACACCATCTTCTTCCCCCTCAGCGGCACAGTAAGAAGTAGCCCTCTCCCATGTGTGTTTCACAGCAAACGATAATGAGAGGCATTTTGTCTTGGAGACTGAAGGCGACACACAGCCATTATGACTAGTAGCCATAAATAGCCTTATCCTCCAGGAATCTGTCTAAAATCCTTTAAAAGTCATCCACTTGGGTATTAAGTACACTTTTTTAGTTGGAAAAGGAACATGCTAGGAATGCATCTCGCCAAAAAGGAAGGAAGGAAGGAAGGAAGGAAGGAAGGAAGGAAGGAAGGAAGGAAGGAAGGAAGGAAGGAAGGATATATAAGGTGTCATTCTGGGGTCTTGCAAGCTGAAACACATATGGATGTAGTGGTGGAAATAAGCAGTTTGAGGGACTGGAGGAAGCAATCTGCCCCACCCTGACTTCATACTTTGTCCTTATGTGGCCTGCTGACCTCTCTCTCAGCCATCCCTCTTCTTACCCAGCTACCTCCATCCCCCGTACTCCTGACCAAGGCACTCCAGGAGGTTTCAGGCACACATTCCCCATTTGCTGATGATCACCTTGGATTATCCATCAGGTCATTACTTGGCTACCCCCTGGAGCTTTGCAGAGCCACCAGGGATAATAGGGGAATGTTATACCTTGCTGTCAATTCCTGTTCTTGAGGAAGATAGAAGTTAATGCCTTTCATAAGCCTGGGGGCTGGGCTAAATTGACTCCTCCTTGTGTGAGGTCTCCATCGATTTTCCTAAGACCAAACTGGAAAAGCTGTTAGACCCTACCTGTATCTACAAAGGAGCAGAAGGAATGTATTTGAGGAGAATCTACACATTTCTGTTGTCCAGAGACCCAATTCCAAAGTCATATGAGACAGAAGTCTCTTTCTTACTTTCTCCAGAAACGATTCACCTTTAAGTAACATTCCTATCTTCTCCGAAGAAGAACAGTTACTATTTGCACAACACCACTTGGTCTGCCTCCTCAGATACATTTGAGAAAGTAAGTCTACAGATGCTTATGCTATAACTTCTTTCACTCAGTTAGTCTCAAAGTTGCTGTAAGATCCCTTTGAATACAATATAAATTCAGAACTTAGAACAGGGATGTCTAGCCCCTCCAGGGCTCCTCCCAATTGCCCCCAAGAAGTGTGAATTTAGGTCCAGAAGTCGCCTTTCTTTTCCAACAGGAAGTGACTTAGAAGTTGAGGAATCTTTGGGGGCAAAATTTTCTTCATTTTTAAAAGGAGGTGCAGCCCTGCAAGATCACTTAGGGGGCCAATGTAGTCCCTTAAACCCTGACATTTTTTCACCCCAGCCTAGATGATGTATGGGAGAAAAAGATTAGCCTTGTGTGGCCTTAAGAACCAAGTACTCTTGCAACAATTCACTTTATAAATGCCACATTGCGAACCAATCTGCCTCACAGTGCCTTGAGAGTATGTGCGCAGATACCCATACATTTGCATGATAAATTTACACAAGAGGAATGCAACCTCTAAAAGACTTGGGTGTTGCTGCTGCCTGCAAGCCATGTGCTGCAATAGTCTGGTGTGCCATATTGTTGAGAATCTTTTGCACCACAATAAGACACAACTGGAGAGTATGATCTTGGGTGCTTTTTGACTTAAAAAGAGCTGTCATGAAAATATGAGAGACAAATAAGTCCACAATATTGAGATGGTTCTCAGTTCTGGGTAGATCAAAAGAGAGGGCCTTCCTCACATCCAGTTCACACCAAGGTTATCATGAAGGTGAAATACATTAGGGCAAAAACAAGATCGCTAAAGAGCTCCTTTGAGACAAGATCACTAAAGTTAGAATTGTACAAGCCATCGTATTCTCCATCATCATGTACGGACGTGAGAGCTGGACAGTGAAGAAAGCAGATAAAAGGAAAATCAACTCATTTGAGATGCGGTGCTGGAGAAAAGTACTGAGAATACCCTGAGTGGTCAAAAAAGACAAACAAATGGGTCCTTGACCAGATCAAGCCTTGAAATCTCCCTGGAAGCCAAGATGATCAAACTGAGGCTGTCGTACTTTGGTCATATCATAAGGAGGCACAACTCATTGGAAAAAACAATAATGCTCGGAAAGGCAAAAAGGTAGACCGCATGCTAGATGATGGATGGACTCTATTAGGGAGGTCACGGGTATGAATTTGCAGGAGCAGAGCAGTGGAGTGCAGGGAATCTTGGAAATGGCTCATACATAGGGTCGCCATGAGTCGAGGTTGACACAGGCAACTAACAACAACAAATACAAGAGAGAGAGAGCTACCACTTATGACCAATGCAAACTATTCCCCAATGAAATAGCCACATTAGTCTGTCTCAGCATAAAAAAGGAAAAAGCGTGTGGGGTGGGTGGGAGGAAGGAACCTAGCAGTACATTTGAAACTCTTCCAAGGAAGGATATATTGTGTTGTGAGTGGACCTTGAACCATGTAGGAATCTATGAATACTGAAAATGCCAACTGCTTCCATAGGGGAAACTGTGCCTGTTAAGCCACTAAGAGAATCCTTTATGTTAAATGAGCTTTCATAGAGATGAGCCTACTTCCTCAGAGGCATGCAGAAAAATAGTAGGAACTCCCTTCCCACTATTTTTTTAACCCTCTAAAACACAGAGGCCACACCAAGAACAACATGGGTGCTTGGACCTAAGGCCCAGCGTCACATACAACTGTTGAGGTTGATGGGACACAATAGCCTCAGTATAGCGTCAGCTGCTCCGTGGCCTCTTGTTCTCTTTCCAGAATCTCCAGTGCGATGGTTCTGTGCTTTCGTGTGGTGGAAATAGGCCGATTCCTCCTGGAAGCCTTCTGCGCAGCTGTTTACTGGCTGTAGATTACTGCACTCACGTGATCTGCTTTCCAGTAAAGCCAAGCTGTCCCTGGGACTGAGAAGGTCAGTGGGGCTTGAGAGAGAAAGGCACTACCTTTCACGGTGCACCAAGGGGCACGGTTTGCAGCCAGAAGGGGCTAGGGCATTGCTGCTCAATTCCTGGCACCTCCTATGAGATGATGGAGGCATGCTACTGGTGGAGTCGCATCTTTAGCTGGCCACCTGATAACCAAAGACTTGCAAATTCCACCAGTCTCTCTAGATCTGTCTACCTTGCTCATTTGCTGAGATGTAGAGGGGGAGCAGATATGGGAATCCCTTGTGGAGCAATGAGGTTACGCATACAAATGCAATGCACAGTACAGGCATGCGGTGCGTGCCAACTGCTCTAAGTAATCTGTGTTGGGCCTTTTTGCAAATCCCATCGGAGGGGTGGCTAGGACAGGAAATGCCGAGGCCATTTCAGGCAGTGTTAAACAGCATTGCCACCGGCCGGGAGCAAACTAGGACATCTGTCTTTGATGTCATTTGGAACGGGCACATATAAAATCAAGGGTTGCATTTAAAGTAATTGAACGATAAAATGTTTACATTTCAGCATGGGCTAAAGGGCCTAAGCATCTAGATGCAACTCCAAGTACTGAAGAGTTAAATATCACTGAACTTGGAGTTGCAGCCTAAAAAGATGTCCTAGTGCTATGTGTGCTCAGGGCCATCACTAGGGAAGTGTTGGGGGTACAGCTCGCACCTGAGGATACCTTGGGGGTAGGTGACACCTGGTCAGGCCCTCTGCCCACTGCAGAGGGGTACAATGCTACTGCCACTTGACAGCCCCTTCCAGTCTAGGGTTGCACAGCAGATCAGGAGGGTCTGTGTTTGACTAATCTAACCCAGAGCTTCTCAACCAGAGTTCCCTAGAGTTCCTCAAAAAAGTCTCTAGGGGTTCCATAAGAAAATGTGATTGAAAACAAAAATACACTTTTTTTGAGCTGTAGATATAATCTGTTTTCATTAAATCATTAAAGGGATTTCCTGAAAATTGAAAATTATTTCAGGGGTCCCTCCAGGTTAAAAAGGTTGAGAAAGCCTGATCTCACCAATTCAAGGACTATAGCTATGGTGAGGCCAGTGTAATGTACTGGTTTGAGTGTTGGATTAGGACTCTGGGAGACCTGAGTTCAAATCCCAGCTTTGGCATGGAAACCCACTGGGTGACCTTAGGCAAATCACACTCTGTCAGCCTCAGAAGATGGTAATGGCAAAACTCTGCTGAAGAAACAGGCCAAGAAAACCCTATGATACATATCCTAGGATTCCATAGGACAGGCTCATGGCAATTAAATTGGTACTGAACTGCTATATATGTGTAGTGTGGATTCAGCCTATTTGGTGAAGCTTGCAAAAAAGCAAATCAGCTTCAAATGTGATGTCTGCCATATGAAAAACAGCTGTGTGAACTGTGGGGCTATACAGACTGCAAGAAATGATCCAGTTTGAGACTACTTTAACTATCTTGCCTCAGTGCTAAGGAATCATGGGAACTGTAGTTTATTGTAGCACCAGAGCTCTCTGACAGAGAAGTCTTAATGCCTCAGAAAAAAACTACAATTCCCATGATTCCCTAGCACAGAGCCAGGACAGTTAAAGTGGCCTCAAGTTGGATTATTTCTGGCAGTCTGTATAGGCCCTGTGACTAGAAATTAAGTACATATTGTGTGAGTCATCCCACTGCAGTGATTTCAATGGTTAATAAAGCTAATAAATGGTATTAAATGCACTGTGATTTCTCTGCAAATTTGTGGTGAAACTGTCCACTTGAAATTCCTTCAGTTATCTTCAAAAGCCAAAGTTGCTCCATTTGCTTTTCTTTGATGAATCACTGAACACTTACATCATGTCTGTACATATGTCAAGGTTGAAAATGGCTTTTCACTCACAGGGATAATGCAACAAAGTTGGGTTCTTAAGCATATAAAGCAGACATGTGTGGAAAGCATTCCTTTTACCTGGACAGTTGGCCCTCCAGATTTGTGGCTTTGACTTTTGCAGATTTGACTATTTGCAGTTTTGGTTAGTATGTTCTCTCTAGGAATCTCTAGGTCCTCCAGCGCAACTCTGCCAGACGTTGACCATAGAGTTGTGCTGGAGAACCTGTAAGTTCTTAGAGAGAACACTTTTCTAGGCATCTGTAGGTCATCCAGCATGATTCTATGATCAGCTTCTGGCAGATGTTGACCATAGCACTGGAGGATCTGTAGATTCCTGGAGGTGTTATCTCAGGTTAAAAAATAGTGGGGTTTTTTATTTGCGGCTTTTCCACATTCGCAGGGGTCCTTTGCCCCTAACCCCAGTGAATGTGGAGGGACCAGTGTACAATATTTTAGTGGAATGCCAGTGTTGGGGTTTTGCAGGATTTTATCATATCCCTTCCTTTGGATGTATCTCTAAATACTCAATTGAACTTTAAGTCATTGCAACGCTAGAAATTTAGCGAATGAAGAAATATTCTTACTGGGGGTGCAATGCCCTCATCTGACCCTCCCTGGCCAGAGACAGAAATAAAACTCCCTTCCTTGACCTCCAACAGCTCCTCTCTCAGCATAAATGGCTGCCATTATCCTCTCTCCTCTGTGCAGCAACCGGAGAATGAAAGGCTTATGCATTATATATGAACCACCCAAAACCATCCTGCCTGACAGGGTTGGTGCAGAAGACAAATTCACAAAAAGTGAACCTCACTGAAGGCTGCTTTTAAGAAAAGGGAGATTTCCCTTCCCGGCATCTTACTCAGAGGCTGGAGGCCTAATAGCTTCATACTCCTACACCTGGGAACAGTAGCTACTGTCTCTCCTATCTTATTAGGAAACGGCTGACAGCTATATGTTGTAAGATGTGGAGGATTTCAAAGGTGTTTGGTACCAAGAGGACACAGCCAGAAAAATAAAAACAGAGCAGGGGGCTGCATGATTCAGCTTTGCAGTGAAGCCAATCATGGGTCAGTAGGTCCAGTCACTGCTAAACCTTAAATATGGGGTTCAAAGATGTTTTGTACCTCTGGATTAAGATTTGTCGGCACCAAATAAAAGGGTTCAGTTTTTGGTTTTTTTGTTGCAAAGAATGCAGAATGCAGGATCTGGTGCAAAATTCCACATTTTAACAACCTCAGCTGACAGCTGAAGTATTTTAAAATGAGGAAGCGTTTAGTCCCTAAGGCTCTAATGATATCTCTGAAAATATATACAGAATGCAGCCCCAGTCAAGGTTTCCTGACAGCTGAGCGTTTTGTGCCAAAATCCAGATTTTTCACACAAAACCCACTGCTTCCAGAAACACATTTTTGTATCTAAATGGTGCTTTTTGCACAAAAAACTTTTTGAACAAAAAAATTGAGCATTTCTGGAAACTAGTTGGTTGGGGTGTGTGTGTACACATTTTCCCACAATAACCACATGTATCTCTGCACAAAACAGCTTTTTCTAAACACTTTGGGATGGGCAAATACTGGATGAAAACTTTGCAGAAATAATTATTTTCTACCACAGTGGGGGGAAAAATAATGGATATTGACAAGTGGAACATGCCTAAAGAAGGGCAACCAAAGCTGTTGAAATATCTGAAAACCAAGCCTTGTGAGGAATGACTGAGGAAGCAGGTTATGTTTAGCGTGGATAAGAGAAAAATTAGAAGTGACATGATAGTGATATTTAAATATCTGAAGCACTGTCATGCAAAAGATGGTTGAACTTGTTATTCTGTTGCTCCATAATAGAACGTGAATCAGTGGATTCCACTTCCAATTTCAAGAAAAGAGATTCCACCTAAAAAAATTTAAAACATTGATTGTTAAGAGCTGTTCAACAGTGGGGCAGGCTGTCTTGGGGTCTTTAAAAAGAGGTTGGATGGCCATCTTTGAGGAGTGTTTTTGTTCTGGTGAGGGATTGTATTTGATGGCCCCTGTGATCTCTTCCATTTCTAAGATTAAATTCTTCTTTATATGTGAGGACAAAATAGAAGATTTACATGCTTGTTTGCAAACTAGTGAATTGCCACTCTTGGGGGGGGGGGGTGTTTCCAAGAAAGGGCATTTACCTTGTTTTTTGTTTGGCCAGAAAGAGCAGCCCTGGGAATTTGAAAGAGATGAGGCCCTCAATGAGTCTTGGCGGGGTTGCCTCCATTCCTATGACAGTACTTTGCCTATTCTTGCTTTACACAAAAAAGGTCCCATGTTCAGTGCCAGTGCTTTGCTGTCTCCAGTTAAAGAAGCCTCGTTTAAAAAACTGACCAAAAGCTTTAGAGAGTGACTGCCAGTCAGAGTAGACGTACTGTATGAGAAGGGCCAATGGGCAGATTCTGTGTAAGGGCAAGGTTGTACACTCAGAATATGGTCTGCAAAGCAGGAAAAAAGCATTGTGAAAAGGGAACAGAGCTTTTCAGCATCCAGAGATGGTCCCAAAGCACTAAGCTCTTTTGGAGGCTTCTCATTTGCAGAAGCCTAAAATGGCTCCCCCCCCCATTACAAGGCCTGCTATTATTTGGCACAGAAGATAGAAGGGAACATATTGCAGTGTCAATGAGCACCAGAGGACAGCCATCTCTTCCTTTAAATGCAACGTTAATGCCTTGTAATCAGCTTTAATTTTTAAACAGATCCCAGTCCCTCCTGTCCATTCCTTCCCCTAATTCAGGCCATGCGGATGGTAAGAGAGCCCCACACTTGGCAAATACCGTGAGGCCACTGCCTGTGACAGCTGGAGGGACAGACTCAGCAGCTGGATAATGGGAGAGGATGTCAGGACTCCCAACAGGGAGGAAGGGAGGGAAGAGCGGGAGCACCCAGTATTGAAGGCTGGGCTAGGAGCTGGAAGACAATGGGTGACACACGGAAAATGTGCACTGATGGCAGGGAGTGTTTTTTGGAAGGTACCAAAGTATTTCCTATATATCAAACATGGATCAGAAGAAGGACTACAGTCAAGAAATCAGAAGAAGACTAAGAATGGGGAGGGAAGCTAGGAAAGAAGTAGGAAAGGTCTTAAAGAGAAAAGACATACAGTCCGCTCTCCTTATCCACAGATTTTTTTAACCACGGATTCAAAATCCATGGCTTGAAAATATTCCAATAAAAGTATACATTCCAAATAGCAAACCTTGATTTTCCATTTTATAAGAGGATCACCATTTTGCTATGTCATTATGTTTAATGGGACTTGAGCATCCACAGATTTTGTTATTCACAGGAGGCCCGGAACCAAACCCCAGCAGATGACAAGGACCCACTGTACAACTGAGCACAAAAGTTATAATCGTACAAGCAATTGTATGCCCCATCCACATGTATGGACGCAAGAGCTGGGCAGTTAAAAAAACAGATAAAAAGAAAATAAATTCATTTGAGATGTGACGCAGGAGAAGAGTGCTAAGGATACTGTGGACAGCCATAAAACTAAATAAATGGGTCCTAGAACAGATTAGGCCTGAGACATCCCTGGAAGCGAAGATGATTAAACTAAGGCTGTCATACTTTGGCTACATCATGAGAAGGCATGGCTCACTGGAAAAGACAATAATGCTAGGAAAGGTAGAGGGTAGTAGAAAGAGAGGAAGACCACATACTAGATGGTTAAGGAAGTCATGGGTATGAATTTGCAAGAACTAAAAAAAGTAGTGGAAGATAGGGAGTCTTGAAATGTCTCATTCAGAGGGTTGCCATGAGTCAAGACTGACTCAATGGTGGTTAACAACAACAACAACAACAACAACAACAACAAAGTACTTCCTTCAGTAAACACCTCAACATAAAGCAAAGGTGGGAAGTTTGCAACCCTGGGAGCTTTTCAAGCACTCCTAAATCTTCAGTCCCCTACACCTAAGATTGACAGATTGAAAACTAGAAAGGGCTCCTGTACTTCTAAAGGTTGAACAGAAGAGGGAATTTAAGATGCTGCTTATCATATAACCAACTAAGAAGTAATCCCTGATGAAATGATGCACTCTGAGAGATAATGGTTTGCCTCCAACTACTGAGTGAACTTAACAGAGGATCTCCGCAGGCCTACTAGCTGGTAGTGAGAGCCAGTGTGGAGTAGTGATTTGAGCGTTGGACTACGACTCTATAGACCAAGGTTCAACTCCCAGCTCAGTCATGAAACCCACTGGGTAACCTTGGGCAAAGTCAAACTGTCTCAGCCTCGGGCGAA